GGGCTTCAGTTTTATTCTCCACAACTTGAACTCTGTGGCTGCTAGAAAGAAGACTCTCTTCCAGGGCACAATTAGAAAACCTTTAGACTATTTATGCAAATATGGAGCAGATGAATTTTATCACTAAATTCATTGTTGTTCTTCACCATATTCTGAGATGCTAGAAGTTGGTTAATTTATTATGGAGCTACCATTTGTTACTTTATCCAGAGACACTAAGATCAATTGACCAGAATCATTTTCCTTATTTTTCCTCAAACTGTTGAAAGTTTCATATACAGAGTCACCAAATCCATTGCTGTGCACAAGATAGTCAGATGCATTTAACTCCTTAAGTTTGTAATATAGTTCACACCATGGGCTATCAGTACTCTCCCAGTTCCCAGGAGAAGCTTCAGTAACCATGGGTGTTGAAAAATTGAAAAGCTTATCCTAGATATTTAAAAACTTCATCCTTATATTTCTGTTGCTCTAAAACAAATTCTGGTACCAAAATCTGCATTAGCTAGAGTTATCTAGAGTAACAATTTACAGAATGAATATATATATATATATATATATATGTGTGTGTGTGTGTGTGTGTGTGTGTGTGTGTGTGTGTGTGTATGGAATTTATTAGCATGATTTACAGCTGGGTGGTGATGGCACACACCATTAATCCCAGCACTCAGGAGGCAGAAGCAGGTGGATCTTTGTGAGTTTGAGACCAGCTTGTTCTGCAAGAGCTAGTACCAAGACAGCCTCCAAAACCACAGAGAAACCCTGTCTCAAAACAAAACAAAACAAAACAAACAAACAAACAAAAAAAGATTTACAGGCTTCAGTTCAGCTAATCCAACAATGGCTAGCTATGAATGGAAAATCCAAGAATCTAGTAGTTGCTCAGCCTCATAAGGCTGGGTGTCTCAGCTGGTCTTCAGTAGATGCTGGGATCCTGAAAAAGTAGACTTTAATGTTCTAGGAAGCCCAGGGCAAGCAGGCAAAGAGGAAAAGCTTCCTTCTTCCATGTCCTTATTTAGTCTTCAGGAGGTGTGTCTTCCTGCCTCCAGATCTAGATTAAAGGTGTCTTTTCTAGGCTCAAAAGATCTGAATTAAAGGTGTGTCTTCCTACCTAAAAAAAAAAAACTAGATTAAAAATACATCTTCCTGGGCTGGTGAAATGGCTCAGTGATCAAGAGCAGTGGCTGTTCTTCCAGAGGTTCTGAGTTCAATTCCCAGCAACCATATAGTGGCTCACAACCATCTTGTGGTGTGCCTGAAGTCAAGTCACTCATATACATAAAATAAATCTTTTAAAAAAATACATCTTCCTTATTGCGGTAAATAAGGATCAGGATAAACAAATAGGCCGAATAGATGTTTATTCAGGGAGAAATAACTTACAACCTAGACAAATGAATACCAGGAAATTCAACCCGATCCTCTCCTGTCCGAGTCACGCCAGCAAGAGAGAGCGCCTTCCTGGCCCCCTCCGAAGTCCTTCCTCAGGTCCTCTCCGCCCATCGCTCCACCCCCCAATGGGCGTGGTCAGTGCTACAGAAGGACTACCTCACTACACTTCCTACTTCAAATTAAACAAAAATCCCTCACAGATATGCCCTCTATTTTTGGATTTTAGTAATTATAAATGTAATCTTGTTGATAACCAAGAATAGCCATCACAATGACTTCCTGGAGTAAAGGTCTCTTAAAAGAACTCCTTGGGCCAGGCAATGGTGGTGCATGCCTTTGATCCCAGCACTAGGGAGGCAGAGACAGGTGGATCTCTGTGAGTTTGAGGCCAGCCTGGTCTACAGAGAGAGTTCCAGGACAGCCAGGGCTACACAGAGAAATCCTGTTTCAAAAAACAAAGACAAAAAAAGAACTCCTTAGACTGTTGCTGGCAGTAGCTTAGAGCTATGTCTCTAGACACCACCCCACAGCTGCTGGCCCCTCCACTTCATCCTCAGCAAAATACCAAAAAAGTTAAGAAAGCCTGAATGTGTACAGCAAGAAAGAAATACAAATTTCAAGACCTTGAGTCAAGAAATGACTTGGCCTTTGAAATCAGTGTCTGGGTTTGAGCAAGTCAAGCAGAATAGAAAGTAGTCAAGTGTGAAGTTGGAGGAGTGACAGGACTGCAAAGAGCTTTCTAGGAAACTAAAAATGCTGAACACAGGCCTAGATGGTGGCTCAGTGGGTAAAGGTGCCTGTCACCAAGACTGATGCCCGAGTGCAGGCACATATAAGCTGTCCTCTGACCTCCAAGTCCTTATGATACATATATGTGAACGTATTGTGTGTGTGAGAGAGAGTTTTTTGTTGTTTTTCAAGACAGGGTTTCTCTGTGTAGCTCTGGACTGGCTTTAAACTTTGGAGATTCTGCCCCCTGACTGATGGGATTAAAGGTGTACACCACCACTACCCAGCCAAAGATAATTTTTAAGAAAAAAAAAAAAAAAAAAAACAACAAAAAACGTTGAGGTCTACTCAGGGCCTTGGTGCACTATCCACTCATATTTTGTTTGTTGGCCTGGAGAGATGGTTCTCCCAAAGAAATGCTGCTCTCCCAGGAGACCTAAGTGCAGTTCCCAGCACCCACATCAGTCATCTTATAAGCACCTGAACTCCAGTTCCAGGAGATACAATGCCTTCTTCTAGCCACCTAGGACAACTTCAAAGTGTGTGCACATACACTTTGGCAATTAAAAAAAAAAAATATTGGCTAGGCATGGTAGCACACACCTTTAATCCTAGCACAGGGGAAGCAGATGCAGGGAAACAAATTCAAGACCAGTTTCATCCACATAGAGAGTTCCATGACAGTCAGGGTTGCATAGGGAGACCTTGTCTCAAAAAATTAAACTAAGAGAGTCAGTGGGTAAAGATGCTTGTACCACAAGCTTGACCACCTGGCTTTCTTTGAACCCAGGAATCAACAGTGGAAGGATAAAATGACTTCTCAAAGTGGCCTGACTGCCACACACATGACTGCATTCACATACCACCCCACCTCTCTCCAACCAATCCAGAAAGGTATTGGTTACAAATGTGGAAGCCTGAAAGTTCAAGATCAAGCAATAGGTGTGGTGTCTGCTGAGGCCTTCACAGGTCACAGGCCTTTCCTTTATGTCCTCAGAGAATCTAAGGAGCAATTTCTAATGATGCAAAAGGTTGCACACATGTGCACATGCTAAGATATGCTGCTGTCACTTTCTGCCTTGTTCCCTTGTAACTGACCAGGTATCTCACTGAAACAGGCTTTCTCTGTGGGTGGTGGGGAATTTGAACTCAGGACCTCATGCTTGTGCAAGTGCTCTTACACACCTTGATAGCTCCCTAGTCCCTCTGAGAAATATCTGATAGGGATACTAATCTTATTCATGAAGGACTTGACCTTTTGCCCTTATTTCCTCCCAAACTTTTTTTGACAGGGTTTCTCTGTATTGCTTTGGAGGTTGTCCTGGAACTCGCTCTGTAGATCAGGTTAGCCTCAAATTTACAGAGATCCACCTGCCTCTGCCTCTCAAGTGCTGGTACCCAATACCCAGCTCCTCCCAAACTCTTATCTTCTAATGTAGTTACCTCTGGGTTTAGAGCTTCAATAGATAAAGTTCCAAGTGGCAGAAATAAAAAATACCAAATCCCATGTGAATGGGTCACCTCTGAATCTCTTTGAAGGCCCACATGAAGACTGTATTCTAAGGCAAGAAACCAGCTCCCCTCTGATGTGTGAGCTTGGAATAAGTGAATGCCTCCAATTCAGCTCTCCACCCTCTGGGCTCCACCCACAGCAGGTGGTAAGACCACAGATGTGCATTAACCCCCAAGTCAGATCAGAGTTATACGCTCAGTATCATCATGCAGTTGGCACCTGCATGATGAAGCTGTTCCAACTCCAAAAACAGGAAGAGGCACTAGTACACACTGAGCCCCACCAACAGGCCCTGCCCCCATCTCTGTGACATGACAGGTTCCATCTTTCTCCCCTATTGACAGAAATGTTCTTGTCTCTGGAAATGCCCAATTCATTTCCTATCTCAGGGTCTTTTTGTAGGTAAGTGTGTGTGTGTGTGCACGCGCGTGTGCTCACGTGCAAATGCAGGTTATCTACTCATGCCATAGCATATGTGGAGGTCAGAGGGCAATTTGCAGGTGTCAGTTCTCTATTCACCATAGGGATCAAACTCAGGTTACAGTCTTGGCAGAAGGCATCTTCCACCCACTGAGCCATTTTGGTCTTTAGTACTGAGGACAGAGACTTACAATTCTAGGGAAGGGCTGTGCCACTGATCCACACCCTAGGACCCAATCTCAGTCTTGGCCTTTCCTGTCATCCCGTAGCGGTCCTCACATCTTGTGTCTCTTCGCCTCTCAGACTTCTGAGGCCCACTCCCTACCAGGTATCTGCATCCCATGACACAACCCTGGCTCACCACCTGAGAGGCTCTGAAATGAACCCAAGAATGTGTTTTCATTTTGGAGACTGGGTCTCATTCTGCTGTAGCCCAAGCTGACCTCAAACTAGCCTTAGCTTCCTGAATACTGGACAGGTCTGTGCCATCTCTGGCTCATAAATGTGTTTGCTTCCTTAGAACCCTACCATCTACACTTGCAGCTGCAAGGTCTTCCCTTTGTTTACTGTGCAGCCCAGTATCTAGGTGCCCAGAAAGGGCTGGTAATGTGGCTCTGTGGATACAGCATTGCCTAGCACGCTCAAGGCCCTAGGTTCCATCCTCAGCATCCCATAAACACGTAAAATCCTAGCACTTGGGAAGAGAAGGCAGAATTAGGAGTTGAAATTAGGAGTTCCTGACTAAAAATAGCCTGGTAATATGGCTCAACGGTATATGACCTACAAGAATGAAGGAAAAAACTGACTCCCACAAGTGTCCTCTGGCCTTCACATGTGTACTATAGCACACACACACATAAACACAAAATAATTATAATAAAAAATGTAGATAAATGAATAGTAAGTGCTGGGGAGGAGCAACCCTTGTTAAATAAATGGAATATGCTTTGAAAAAAATCATTAATCTTTAATAGTAAAATACCATATGCTGTAGAAAACTTGAAAAAGGCAGGATACAAAATACAGAAAATACAATTGAGAACTTTTTAGAATACTAGGACAATTCAACAGCTTGTCTCCCAAGCATATAGGCAGACAATCAGGCAGACCACAGAGCCCTGATCCCTGTCCATCTGTATACTGAAAAGGACCCCTCTATAGTGGTCTTCTGGGGTCTATTAGAGATTAAGACTTTCTAGAGCCCCAGGATAGCTCAGGAGCACAGCAGTGCTGGCCTAACATAACCTAAGGCTGTGGGTTTGATCCCCAGGTACTGGGAAAAAAAGAGAGGGGGTATATGCAAATGAATCATGAGGTAGCTATGATGCCTATTTCTAAATGTGTAAACTGGGCCTCCCAGAGGCTGGGTGACAAGGCTGAGGTCATCAAGATGACAGACAACCCCAGCTCTGCAGGCCTCAGGGTCCTAGCTTCTTTTCCTTGTGACCTTGTTTCCTGCTTAGAAGGTTAACTTTTGAAAGCTAGGATAGGTCCCAGGGATGGATGGGTGGTGCCTTCACATCCACCAATCCATGGATTCTTTGGGACAGGCCCTGACAATAACCATGCAGTGGGGCAGGCCCCTGCATAGGACCTTTTCTGCCTCCTGGCCCTCCCAGCCCAGCCCTTGCACCTCAAGCACTCTGAGCTTAGGCATGGTGAGGCAGGAGGCCACAATCTGAGCAGGTGTGGGCATTTCTGGGGTGATGAGGGGACCCTGGAAGCATAAACTCTCCAGGGCAGGCATTCCCTCCAGGAAGACCAGGCCTTGGGCTGAGAGGCCCCCAACGGTCAGCCGAATCTTACGCACATCTCGGAGGTGGCGGCTGATGGCTAGCAGAGTGCTATCAGCTGACAGGGTACAGCCCAGCACCTCCAGCCTCTGCAGGTAACTGAGCTCCTGCAGGCTGGCATCCAGCCCGGTCTCGGTGACTCGGTAGGTGCCACCCAGCACCAGTGAGCGCAGGGCCCGGAAGCGGGTAAGGCCCTGCAGGTGCTCATCACGGAAGGCCGGCACTCGGTCCAGCACGATGCATTCCAGCAGTGGCAGCACTGTAGGGTCCTGCTCCTTCTGCAGCCAGATCATTGAGATCTCACAGCTGTGCAGCTCCAGGGTCCTCAGCGTGCTGGGCAGGCTGGTGATAGGCACCATGCTCAGGTCAGCTACATGCAGGCACAGGCGCTTCAGGTTGGGGCACTTCTGGCCCAGGGCCCGCATCAAGGCAGGGGACAGCTGTGGGGCCTGAGAGCCAGAGAACAGGTAGCCGCCCATGCGAAGCGAGTGGAGCCGGGACGCCATGTACCGGCGCAGAAGGTGCCACATGACTTTTGGACGCATCTGTAAGAGCCAGAGATTGGGGTGACTGGGTGAGAGGGGGGGGGCGCCAGAGGATCCACCTAGCTGATGACAGAACATGCTTGGGACCTGGGTTCTGGTGTCCCTCTAGGATTCGGCTCTTCTACCTAAAGCAAGGCAGTTTCTTTTGCGGGGTATCAAGACTCATGCTCTTAAACCCAGCCAGCACACAGGGAAGGTTGAGGCAGGAGGATCCACAGTTCAGGCTAGCCTGTCTAGTCACTCAAAGTTCAGTGGAAGATCCTGTCTCAAACACAAACAAGGCCTACATATACTAGGTAAACAGGTACTTTTTTCTCAGTGTTAGGGATGGAGCCCAGAGCTTCACCAGGGTCAAGCAAGAACTCTTTTTATATTTTTGGTTGTGATCCTAGCCTTTAACATCTGCACCATCTCTCCAGCCGGCAAGAACTCTTTTTAATACCCATTTCTTGTATGAGGTCTGAGGGTTGCTAAGGAGGAAGAGGATGTAAACACCAGTGTCAGGATAGACATGCAGGAAATTCCAAGCATGCACTCACTTCAAAACCAAACCAAACCAAACCAGCTGGCCATGGTGGTCCAAACTCTGCCTTTAGAGGCAGAGGCAGAGGCAGGACGATAAAGCAAGAAAGTTCCAGGACAGCCAGGGCTACAGAGAAACCCTGACATGAGTGGGAAAAAAAAAAAAAAAAAACACTTTCTGGGCCAGACAATGTGGTCTACACCTGTAATCTTAGCATTCAGGAGTTGGAGGGAAGTTGTAGTGAGAAGAAGTACATGGCTCAGTAGGTAGAGTGCTTTCCTAGCATTCAGGAAGCCTAAATTCCATTCCCAGCATCACAGAAACCAGTCATGGGCACCCATGCTGGTAATCCCAGTATTTAGAAAGTCGAGGTGCATCAGAAGTTCGAGGTCATCCTCAGCTTCCTAGGAATCTGGAAGCCAGTCTGGGCTAGAGACCCTGTTCAAAACAACCTCTTCTTCCCCCCCCCCCCAAAGAAAAATTTAAAAAAAAATCTAGAAAAAAGCATAAGCCTCAAGTAAATAAATAAATGAGCAAACAAACACTAGAAAACAAAACAAACCCCATTCTGTCCCAGGGTTCTCCAAGCACCGCCCGCGGGTCCCGCGTGCCTCATACCGTGTAGAGCGTCAGGTCGACATGTCGCCACAACCACCGGTCGTCTACTAGCCTCTTCCAGCGGTGACAGACCCTGGAGGAGTGGACCGGTCGTTAGAACGACCCCGGCCCGGTGGGACCGGATCCGCATCTCCTGCCGAGCCCCTGCCCGGCTCTTTCCCCCGAGGAGCGGGGCCGCACCTGGAGATGCGGATCCGGTCCCGGACGGGGAGGTATGAGAAGATTTCCAAGAGCACCAAGTCCGGGAGGTCAAACAGCGTCGCCATGGTCCTGCTCTCCCACGCTTCCGTTTCCGGTGGCGGCGAGGCCTGCGCTCGCTCCCCTGAGGGCGCTTAGGTGGCCGGACTGGCCAAACCGGCGCGACTTTCGGAGGCCTATCAAGAAGCTCTACTTCCTTCCGTAGGGAAGTGGCTGAGGCCCCGAGACTGGACCCACCCAGCTTCTCCGCCGGTAGGAGGCCGGGACTGGAGTCTGACTAGGCCTGACTGACTTGGCCAGCGGGTGGAACTGAGGATAGGCAAACCCAGAAGGTGTGGCTTGAGTGAGGAGGGAGCACAGGGCGCGGCCAGGGCTGGGGTAGAAGGCTAACAGCGAACCCAGAAGGCGTGGCGAGAGCGAGCGTCCCGGAGGCGTGGCCAGGAGGTGGAGCTAAGTATAGCGGCAAATCCAAAGGGAGCCAGGGAGCAACCACGAAGGCGTGGCTCCGGCAGGGAGGGGCTCAGGGCGTGGTCAGAGGCAGGAGACGTGGCGTGCACAGGCTTGTAGACTAGGTTCCGGCCAGACTCAAGCCGCTCTGGGGAAGTGGGAAGAGGAAAGGAGACAGGGACGAAGACGTGATTGAGAGACGGGACAGGGGAGATGTTTGGGGCGTGGCATTTTGAAAAAACGCGCCTGAGTGGAGGGGTGTAGCCAGGATCAGAGGAGCAGATTGGAGGTTGTCAGCCACAACAGGAAGGCGTGCCTTCAGTAGGAAGAGGGCATCGCCAAGGGACTAGTGGCGTGCACAGAGGCTGTACGTACTTGAGCTAGAAGAAATTTAGGGATGTGGCCAAGCCAGAGACCAGGCTGGGACCAGACCATATGCCCTGAAGGCGTGACTTGGGTAAGGGAAAGCTGAGAGCAGCAAGCCCAGAAACCATGACTTGAAGGGGCTCAGAGGTGTGTTAAGAACCCGACAACCAAACTTGTAAAAACTAGCTTAGGAGGAACAAGGTCCGATATAAGGGGGGAGTCAAGTTTGGAATGAGTGGGTGTCAAAGGGAAGAGTTGGGGGACTTGGTAAGGGCTGGAGGTATGGTTAAGAGCAGGAACGGAACCCTAAAACATCGCTGGAGGCAGAAACGAGAGCTAAGCAAGGAGTTGGGTATGCAGCTCTGTGGGATAGCCTTTGGCTAACAAGCTATAAGTCCCTAGGTTCGACCCCCAACATGGAAGAAAGGAAAAAAAAAGTAAGAAAAGGAAGAAACCCTATTTTTCTGGTATGTATGCTTATTAAGCCTGGGAAGTATTTTCCGAATGGAAACGAGGCACTGGGAGAGGATGGAACAGATCAAAACACTAAGGTCGTGTTTCATTCCAGACTAAAAGGTGTAACTGGGGCGAGGCAGAGGGAGCCAGGGAGGCGTGGCCACAAGCAGCAATAAAAAGAAAAAGTAATGCTTTTTGCTGCCTACTCATAAGGATAAATTTTGTATAAGTGGTATAAGCACAAGGCCCTGATAGATTTTTCCTTTTCTTTTTGAAATAGTCTCTCTACAAAGCTCTGTCCTGGAACTCGCTATACAGACCAGGATAGCTTCTAATACACAGGCCTACATAATATCAGCATCCGAGGGTGGACAGGAGTATCACAAATTCGAGATCAGCTTGGTCTATATACTGAAACCTCATCTCAAAAAAATTAAGCTACTTTTAAAAAGAAAAAAGAAATATAAATACACACACACACACACACACACACACTTACCTTACTGAGAGTACTGTCTGCTAAGAAGGAATCAGTCGTTTAGTAGAGGTGGAAACTGGTTGAATTTAGGGAGTGATTCATTCCCCATCAGTTCTCGCGATTCTGTAATCTGTAACAAGGTGTTCCTTGAAGATTAAAAAAGAAAACGAAAACGAATTTTTTCCAATATGCTGTTCTCAACATCTTCGCAGGCAGGACACCGACACATGGGGTGGTGTGCAACATGGCCTCCCGTCCAGGATCCGGCTTAGCTTTCATCAACTGCAGTCTACACCCCTAGTGTCTCAGAAACAGTCACTTCGGTCAGAGAATAAAGGCAAGCACAGGGTCCAAGACTGAGCTTTGAATGAAAACGGAAAGCCCGACAGCCAGGGGACCCGTATGACTCCAGTTCTGTCCCTCGGAAGCCGGGATTCTGCGGTAGGAGGTTTGTTTGGCTTGGGAAGGGCAGTTCCTTTGGGTCTCTTCCACAACAAAGGGATCTCCAACAACGCGCCTAACGTCAGCTGTAAATCCACTAGGATCGTCACTTAACCTCACAGTCTTCTTACCCAGTCTTGCTTAACAAAACTGCGCCACAGAATAGCGTCTTTGAAAGCCCGGAATCCGGAAGCACCTAAGGGCGGATGTTTCCGTTATATCACTTCCGCTTCCTGCTACTAGCCCTAAATCGGGTAAAGGCTCAGCGTTCGAGCTATAAGTTGTGTCGTCGATAAATTCGAGGGAATTAGAGGTGAGGGAGCTACACTGAGAGGCCCGAAGTCACGGGAAGCAGCTGAGACTCGGGAATCCAGAGATTTGAGGGAAGCGAAGCCGGGTTCCGGGGCTGGGTCTGTGGGAGTTAAGGGGCGGAGACGCGACTGTCTGGGGTCCCCGCCATTGACACCCTGGACTGGGGCTGCCTGGGATTTGTGTTCGGGTAGTGTGAACAAAGAACTCAACTCGGGAAAGAACTTTGGGCGCCGGAGCGACCCCCAAAGTTCTAACTCTGCTGCCTTCCATCCTCTCCCTCCACTCAGTGTAGCTCCAGCCACAATGATTGAGGTTGTTTGCAACGACCGTCTAGGAAAGAAAGTCCGCGTCAAGTGCAAGTATCCACCGAGGGGTGACTGGCAGTGGTCTCTGGGGCAGTTGGTGGTGTTGGGCAAATTGTAGTTAAATGACGTAGCTGGGGAGACCTAAAGTCGTCTTCCTCGTTCTACCTCTTCCATTTACCTTAACTCCTTCGTGCGCCAGCACCGATGACACCATCGGGGACTTGAAGAAACTGATAGCGGCCCAAACTGGCACCCGTTGGAATAAGATCGTCCTTAAAAAATGGTAAGTGTGGGCTGGTCTGGATTAGGCTAGAAGGTTTCAGTTGGAGGAGCGCCTCAGGCAACCCCAATGAGGGCTCAGCTTGCTTTAAAAAGTCCACCCCCACCCCGCCAAATAAGCTTCTCTCTGAAAGATATCTGTCCCATAGGTACACGATTTTTAAGGACCACGTGTCGCTGGGAGATTGTATCCTTTTTCTGACTTTTGTGAAAGGATTCATATACTTGAGTTCTGGCTCTATACTGAAACCTGTAGGGATGTTTAACTTGGAATGTGGCCTATAGGGACACCTGAGAAAATGGGAAGTATGGAATTATTTTGTTGGTGAGGAGGGTGGCGGAATAGTTTAAATTGGTTTAGAAGGATTTTGATGTTCAGGTTCAAAATATTTATGATAGCGCCACATGGATGCTGGACAGAAAGTGAAGGTGTAGTATAACTCAGATGTGACTAGTTGACAAACCAGTATGATTTTTTTTTTTTTTAAATGGGGCAGGGAGTCTGGGTCTTCTGCCTGAAATTATGTCTGTGTACCACATGCATGCCTGTTGCTGACTTAGGCCAGAAGGAAGCCTCAGATTCCCGGAACTGCCCTGTGAGTGCTGGGATTGAACCCAGTTCCTCTGCAAGAGCAGCAATGAGTGCCCTTCAACTGCTGAACTATCTCTTCAGTCTGATTATGAACATTTAAGAAAATGTGTTCATCATTGCCTTGTGTGATGGACTGTGGGTGTGGGCCACTTGAGAATCTGATTCTAAACCAGGCTTTGATGGCAAACAACTTTGCCTTCTCAGTGGTCTTGAGGGCCACGACCACTGTATAGCTTGAGTTCTTAGATCAAAATGCACATTCCAAAATTGCTTCCTTTTCCAGGATTTGGTATTGACCCACAAGGATCCAACTGTGAGTAGGTAAATGGTAGAGTCAGCCCTCAGTGAAAATTCCTTAATAGCTGTCTTCAGATGAAATCCATGATGGGATGAACCTGGAGCTTTATTACCAATAGACCGTGATTCCTTCTCCTTGACTACCCTGCCTTCCTCTCCCATCCTCATTTGACACTGATATAGATGCACATTTTTAACAGTTCACATGAATAAAGACTTTGATGCTGCTTTGTTCTCATACTTATTTGGAAGTTGTATCTGGAGGGGAGAGCTGGTGTCTGGTGGGTACAGTTTGGTATACTGCACCTTGAGGAAGAGCTCAAGATTGACTGGAGGTTGGGCCTGGTACTGCATACCTAACATTTCAGCACTTGGGAGATGGAGGCCAAAGGATCATATGTGAAGTCATGAGGGAGGAGTAGCCTAGTAGAATGGAACCCAGAGCTGTGCTGTGCTTTGGGTCTGATGGGCAGAGATCCTGTGAGTATTGCCGTTCTCATAAACCATTAACCTGCGCAGGGAGAATAGATGTACTAGGTGTAACAGGGTCTGGCTTCACAAGACTGGATAGGACACCTGCCCCACAGCTGAATGGCTCTGGGCAAGTTTCTTAACCTCCTAAGTCTGTACAATGGTTTCAATATCTCCAACAAACTAGGATAAAACATAGTCTCCATTGTGAGGTATTGAAAGGTGGGTCCTTTATTACATGTGATAATTAACCTTCATTGTCAATAGCATTTTGAATCACCCAGGATGCATACCTTTGAACATAATTCAGGAGCTTTTTCCAAAGAAGTTTAACTAAGAGATGATGAATCCTGAATCCATGAATAGTACCATTCTGGTCAGGACTGAACAAAAAGAATGAGTTGAGCCTGGTGGTGGTGGCATTTGCCTTTAATCCTAGCTCTGGGGAGGCAGAAGCAGGCTGACCTCTGTGAGTTCAAGGCCAGCCTGACCTTCAGAGTGAATTCCAGAACAGGCTTCAAAGCTTCAGAGAAACCCTGTCTTAGGGGGAAAAAATGAGTTGAGCACCAACATTAATCAGTCTGCTTCCTATCCATTCAGCTACTCAGTTTCTTGCCAACATTCCTTCCTGCCACAAAGGACTCTCCCTATTAAATTATAAGGCAAAACAAATGCTTTCCTTAATCTGCCTTAAAATTTTTTATTTATTTTGTATGTGGACAGGGGTGCTATGAGTTCAGAGAAAAAGTTTGTCAGTTCTCTCCTGTTATGTGGGTTCCAGAGATAAAACTCAGGTCATCAGGTTTGGGGCAGGCAACTAATACAAGAAATGATGAGAACTCTGCTTATTGATGCCTGGGTTATCAAAGAGTGCAAAGAGTGGGCCTGTTAGTTGGCAGTTGGCTTTTTTTTTTTTTTTTTCACCCTGTCTCTCTGATTCTGTAGAATCCCCACTAGCAAAGAACTGAACAGATTTGTTCTGTAAACAGTAGATTGACAAACAGTAGAACTGAGCTAAATAAAAGTCTGTCGAGAGTCCTGTAAGCAAGTTAACCCCAAACTTAATGTGCAGCAATGATCTGGAACCCATGCCTCCACCTCCCAAGTGCTGAGATTAAAGGGCAAGCACCACCATGCCCAATTTAGTATGGTCTCATCTTTGTTTTTTTTTTTAAATATTTATTATATATACTGTGTTTTTCCAGCATGCTAGAAGAGGGCTTAAGGTCTCATTATAGATAGTTGTGGTTTCTGGGAATTGAACTCAGGACCTCTGGAAGAGCAGTCAGTGCTCTTAACCTCTGAGGCATCTGCCCAGCCCCTCTTATTTTTGCTTTAAAGAAATTGCCAGAAAATGCTGCCTATACATGTGTTATCTTCATCTACTCTTTACAGTGTGGTGAAAATTTGGAAAGTAAAGCTGTTTCCTGCAGTTTTGCTAAATACCAGAAACTCAGTAATTTGTGAAGAATGTTTTTGGGTTTTGCTTTGTTTTTACTTTTCAAGACAGGGTTTCCCTGTAGCTTTTGGAGTCTTCCCTGGAATGTCTTGTTCTGTAGACCAGGCTGGCCTCTAACTCACAGAGATCCACCTGTCTCTGCCTCCCATGTGCTAGGATTAAAGGTGTGCACCAGTACTTCCCAGTGGTTTGGGTTTTTTTTTAGTTCTGAAATAGGTAAAATGCATGTCCTACAAGCATGAGGACCCGAGTCTGATCTCCAGAATCCATGTAAAAAATGTGTGTACACCTTTTTAATCCATACAGGTGAACACTTTTAATCTTAGCATTGAACAGCTAGAGACAGGAAGATCTCTGGGGCTTGCTAGCTAGCCAGTCTAGCTTATTTGGTGCACTTTAGGCCAATGACTGTAGATTGTGTTCCTAAAATGACACTCAAGATTGTCCTCTACCCTCCACCCTCCACAGTTAGGCTCACACAGAAACACAGACACACATACTTGTAAAAACAAAGCTACTTGGGTGGCCAAGGTAGGACCAATCTAAGCAAGAGTTGGTATCTGAAAAAGTGGAAAGCAACCAGGTATGTATTTAGTTGATAAATTGCTTTTATTGGATATTTTGTTAACAGAAGGAAGAAAAGTAACAATGGGCTACATAGTGAGATCCTATTTTCTAAAAAAAAAAAAAAAAAAAAAAAAATCACTGTATTAGGGTTTTGTAGAGAAACGACTAATACAATGAAGCTATGTATATAAACAGGGTTTGTTAGAGTGGCTTATGGTTATGGTCTAACTATTCCATGAGTGGTCATCTCTAAGTGGAAAGTTCAAGAATCCAGTATTTGTTCATTCAGTCCATGAGACTGGATTTCTCAGCTGGTCTTCATTCAGTGTACGCCAGAATTCTGAAGAAGTAGGCTCTAATGGCAGTGAAGGAATGGACTTGGCCAGTGAGAGTGTGAGTAAGCAGGCAAAGAGTAAGATACAGCCCAGATAAAAGGTGGATTTTCCCACCTCAAAATATTTAGATTTAGGATGGTCTTCCACCTCAAATGATTCAATTAAGGAAGAAAATCCCTCACAGGTGTACTGACTTAACAACTGAGAATAGCCATTACACCCACATATATAAAT